CGAATCAAAAGCTCACTGTATCGAGATATGTATCGTATCGGCAACTTCTTAATGATACCCAGTTCTAACTGAGAAGTGTGAAAAATACCCCAGTCGTCCACGTAAAATCCATGGCAAAAGGAGGAATTCAATTTGTCAGCTGGACAAAAGTTTATTTTGGTTGAATACATTTCACGGCTCATCCAAGCTGCTTCTTCTGTTCTAGCCAGATGCTGGTGGACATTGCCTTATATTTACCTGCAGGGAGGAGCTAACTACACTGAAACTACTCTGAAACTCTGAACACACAGGACTGAGAAACTTGCTTATTTTTGCAGAATCAATAATTGAAAATATCATGTACAAAAAAAAAGTTATAGATTTTGATCTGAATGAATTTTGGAGAGGAGATGTCTTCTGCATTTGAGAGACACAAGATACACATTTAATTCTCTCTGATCCAGTTCCAGACCCTTCTGTATTGCTCAGCCAATTACAATGTCTAATTTCACAAAACTTATTTACAGTTCCATAAAGGTGTTCTGTGTAGATTTAACTTTTTAGTTTGAGGGGTTCAGCACACGAAACAAACAACCAAAAAAACATGTGAGGTCACCTCTCCACAGCTTTGACCTGCTACTTCATCTGGTGGTGCCACTTTCTTACCTTCATGGGGATAGATACGTTTAAAGGCATACTATGGAACATTCCAAGCAAAGCAAGAACATTTCACGGAGACTCGCAGGTCCATAGTCACTTTGAAATGAAAGCAGTGCCATTTTGACCAGTGTCATTAGATCCGTGCTGTATGATTAACATTGACTGAGTTGGGTGAAGAGTCTGGGGAGGGGGAAGGTCTGGGTCTCTTTGGAAGCTTGTGGTCGTCTCTTGTTTGTTGTGGTCGTCTGTGGCTGGATGCAGATGGCGATGGCGTGTGATCTTCTCGGTGTTCCTCTGCTCATGTGGACTGTGGAGATGTTAGAACTTAGTGATCCAGACACACGCTCTTTGTTTGGGTCAGAAGAGAGCTCAAGGAGAAGAACTTTTGGATCACTGTGGACACTAGTAGCGGTACACAACTTTGCTCTAGTGGGCCCTGTGTAAACCAAGGCGTTCTTTAGCACTAGCACATGTTGTTTGGCTTTGGTTTTGTGGAGCATTTTATGTTATAACATTATTCCCTCTTCAAAAACATGCCTGAGGTTTTAGATGTCATCTGTGCACGTTTGACTAATCTAGCGATCTCCCCTGGGCCCTATTCGAACCCTCTGTATGGTTATCTCAGCCCACATGCTCCGACACGATAATTCTCCGTAAATATACAAAAGCAGGATACAAAACAATACAACTTCACAAACCTGATGCGATGTGCAGTAGTTTGATTGATTTGATTTTGATGCACGGCGATTGTGTTGTGATAGAGCTCTGAAGGGGGAGTGACTTATGTGTTAGAAGTGTAATATCCCGTCTTTAATCTTGTGGGAAAGCTTTTCGTTTAGACTTGTTTCCGTTTTGGCGTAGTTAATTCAGTTCAGCTTTTTACTCTAACCAAAGTCTAGTACCGTCTGTGTCAGTGATTGTTTAAACTTGACTTGACTTATCAGAGGCCTTTTAACCCCGACCTCATGTATGTTTGGTCGCAGTCATCTCGTGTATGTGCGTCAGAGCTCTTTAAAATATCCTCCTTCATTCTTAAAGTGTCTGCTCTGTGGGAACACTGGGCTCCGAGCCACACACATGTGGTCTGCTCCACCACATGCCAGGCTCTAATGTCTGAGGAGAGAGAGGAGAGGTGCAGT